ATTGGTTAATATGCAGTATTCATAAATGCTTCATGATGAGCATTTCTATACACATTATATTCATCCAAGAGACATTTTCTCTTGGATCCTGTAACAATGAAGAAATAGTGGCATGTGACATTTGCTATTGTCAGTAGTAAAAGAAAAATACGTGCTTTATTCAAATAAAAGCATCATGCATTTGTGTGGGTGACTTCCACAGAGATAAACAAAAGAAGGAACAGCTCCAGGAGCAAATCAACATATTTTCCTTGAAGAGGAAGAAAAGGGCAATTCAGCTGAGGGGATAAACTATTGCAGCAAGTGTAAATGTTTCCAGGTTAACAGTACTTATTGTCTGATTGATTTTGTGAAGATTTCCTTTTTCAAACAAGAATGTGGGATGAGTTTAATTGTGCAATATCACAACTTCATTCATGTGTATTTTTGCTCCTTCCAGTGAAGTTCACTAATGCTTGATTGAATCTTATCAAAATTGAGAGATGATGAAGTTGTGCAAAATTTTAAGTAATTAGCATAGGCTTGGGGTTTTATACGGCATTTTCAGCAGAAATATATAAGATTCAGGATAATATTTGCCTTACTCACATCTTCAGCAAGGACTTAGTTTCTTTGTTGAAAATATGTACAGGCAAAACAAGTTTAGAGTCTTTCAGAAATCAGCTGACAAATATGAAATCGGAAAAAATAAAACTAAGGTATTATTCTTTGCAGACAGAACTATATAATGAAATAAAAATTAATATCCCAAATTGGTTCTTTCACATGGATGAGGACTACAGGAGACAATTTATTCAACATTCAATTACGGATTTGCATGGAGTGAGGATAAAAATGAGGTATAATCTTGAGGCAATTATTTGTTCTCAAATGAATAAACAGTGCAAGATATCATACTTTTTTTTAAGAAATAAGTTTTGCTGTGTTCTTGGATGCTTTTGAAAATTTCTTTTTACAAAAATGTATTCGCAATCTAGGAGTACATGAAGACATTGCTGAATGGGGGACTTGTGGAATTTGAAAAGTTGGAAGACATCAAGCCAGAGTACATTGATGATGCAACACAGCTGTACAAGAATGTTCTCATTCAAGCGAGAGCATGCAAATACAATGTTGGCAAGTGCAACAGTGGCGCCAGTGCTCAATACCAGGAGTGGATGACCAACTACAATGAAGCCTTACCTGACAAAGCCATGTACGATTCACTTTACTTTTTTCAAGTGCACATTTATTTTCCAACTTCATCAGAATTCACAATTTTGAACATAAGTTTATGGGAGTTGGAAAGACAAAAAAGCACGCATATTGCTAACAGTCACACAGTTGATGAAACAATCTGAAAATATTTTATCAACATTAGTCTCTTGAAAAATAAATTACTGTACAGGAAATCTATAAGCAGATTCATTTCAATTTTCTGCCAACATAAATAGGTCAATTTAAAAAATATCACAATTTTGAAAGTGAGACCCCAAGATGCAGATGTAATTGGTGCATCAGGAGTGTCCCTAAGTTGAGTC